TATCCCGGCCTGAAGCCCGACTGGAGAGGGTCTAGATAGACTGTTTCCTCCAGGTGCCGAGGAAACTGCTGTGCAACCACACTCTCAACAACCTTCGCCACAAAGCGAAGGTTGGAGACGGGGCGATAGTTAGCCAATACATCTGGATTCAGGGAAGGCTTCTTGAGGAGGGGCCTCACCACCGCCTCCTTTAGGACCGTGGGGAAGGCACCCTCCCGTAGAGAAGCGTTTATAATTCCCTGAAGCCAGGCTCGTGTACCCTCCCGAGCTGCCAGTACCAGCCAGGAGGGGCACGGATCCAATAAACATGTGGTTGCATTCAGTCTCCCCAGTCTCCCCAGGATCCTGTCCACGTCCTCGAGAGCCACAGAGTCAAACTCCTCCCATATAACAGTCTCAAGACCTGCTCCCGCCACCTCCCCCGTGTTTTTTTCCATCTTCAATGTCTTTACAGATGTTGCTGTAATACTGTTTCTTATCTCTTCTAACAGCTTTCTGAAACTTTGTAAAGCTCCTTCCTGAGATTTTTATCTTTCTTGACTTTGACTTCTTTTCGCTTGGCTCAGGACTTCAAAGAAATTCCTGTTGTTTTCCTTGAAAATGTTTGGTATAGTTTTAGAACAAATTGTGGAAACTGGTTGGTTTTCTTCTTCCCTGTTAGCTTAACTTGGAACTTACACATGAGTAGTTTGTGAACTGTTTCACAGTCAGTTCCTGGCCCTGTCTTTGATGCTATAATTGAGCTTCTCCACCTCCTTTTAGTAATAATATAGTCAATTTAGCTTCTGTGTTTGCCATCTAATGATGTTCATATATAGAGGCATTGTTTTGGTTGTTTGAAGAGTGTTAGCTATGAAGAAGTAATTGGAATAGCAGAAATTGATAAGTCAGTGCCCTGCTTTTCAGTTTCCTAAGCCATACAATCCAACTATAACATCCAACTATATTTTTTCTTTGTCATTTCTAACTTTGTCATTTCAAATTTTGTTTATGTATTCTATCAGTTTCAAACTGAACTTGAACATAAAACTAAACAGCTTTCTCTTTTTCTGAAACAGCATTTGGAGCATAAACTTGGATGATTGTCATATTAAAAGATTATCCACAAATTCTCAATATTATTCAGCCATTGCTTGCATTGTAACCAAGTACTGTTCTTGCTATACCCTTCCTAGCTATACAATGTCATTCCTTGTTTTCATCTCTTGAATAATAAATAGCATGATCTTCTGACTGAAAGAGTCCAATCCTACTCCATCTCTATTCATTGATGTCTAAGATGTCAATTTGTAGTGGTTTCATTTCATATTTTACTGTAATGGGGTGTGTGAATGACCTTGGGGAATGAGGGGAAGAGATGCTGCCTAGGAAACAACTACACCAGAAAGACAGGAGCCCCCAGTGGCTTAACGGTCAGAGAAAGAAACTTAGGAAGACAATGGATCAAGCAGGTAAAAGTGGTGGCAGGAAGTTTCTACTTTCAGAGATGCAAGATTCTGTTAATGTAGCCTTACAGTAAAGTAGAATTAGCTCATCTAGTCATGTTTCCTGTCTGGTTTACCTAGGAGTGCTGATATTCACTGATTTGAGCTTTTCCATATTCATGCTTCATACATTCCATGTTCACATAGTAATTCTGTCTTTGGAGCTTCTGATTTTCTTTTCCTGTATGGCAACATCAGGAGCTAGGTGTCCCAAAGGCTTTAATCTAGCCACATCATAAACACCATTAGGAATTGAAGAGGAATTGAACCATAAAGGCATTAAATGAGTTGATATTGCACAAGGCACTAAATCTACTCATCCCCCCCCAAACCAACCAATCATCCAGAGTTAAAATGAAGCTAAGCATGTTGTACAGATATAGCTGCTAGGTTTTTAACTGACCTGATTAAACATGTTGATTGAACATAGCCAATTTCTCTTCAAAGAGCCAGGAACAATTCCCCTGTAGTTTATGAGGAAATTTGCAGTAGTAGATTTCATTGGATTTATTAGCAGATTCTGGTAACTTTCAGACTTGGCACCTCATATTTTAATGCAATACACCTCTTCCTTTTTCTCATGCAGATTCTGAGGGTCTTGGGATCAGTATTATTGGAATGGGTGCTGGAGCTGATATGGGTCTAGAAAAACTTGGCATATTTGTCAAGATTGTGACAGAAGGAGGAGCAGCTCATCAAGATGGCAGGTCAGTATTACAACTTGGATGGCATGCCTTTCTATGGTACAGGAAAAATAAAATTCACAGATACTTTCAATATCACTACATAAGAAACACACTTTTGATAGAATGGGAAAAGATAAAAGCAAAAATCTGTATGAAAATACCTGGATGGCTTTCAACAATGGAAGCGTTTGTTCACCCAAACTTAATAAACTATGACAAAATTGTGACTTATAAAGACATTTTGAATAAAGAAGGAAAATTAAAACATAGACAAGAACTAGAAGAACAGAGTATTGACTTATCATGGTGGCCATATCTGCAATTCCAAACGAGATATGAAAAAGATGTTAAAATATCTGGATTCTATAAAGAACAGACAGAATTTGATAAGATATTACTGACATCAGATGAAAAATTGATTAAGAAACTATATAAATATATGCTAAGTTTAAAGATGGAAGAGGAACAAGATAAAGAAACAATGATAACATGGGCAAAGAATTTTGGATATAATATAGAACTAGAAAAATGGCAAAGCCTTTGGGAAAGAAATTCTAAAATAACAAAAGCGGTAGCGTACAAAGAAAATTTATATAAACTGTTTTATAGATGGCATTTAACACCTGTGAGGTTAGCAAAAATGTTTAAAAATATATCAAGCAATTGTTGGAAATGTAAACAAAAACCAGGCACTTATTACCATCTTTGGTGGTGTGAGGTGGACATGCTCTAAAGCTAAAAGATTTTGGTTAAGAATACATACATGGTTAGAGAAAATGACAAAAAAACATACAGAGTTTAAGGCAGAATTATTTTTGTTAGGCATAATTGTAGGTAATTATGAGAAAGAGTGTATATATTTAATTTTACATATATTAACTGCAGCAAGAATTGTGATTATAAAAAAAACATATATATATATGTCAAAAACTCATTCCAGTTCATAGAGATCATAAAGAAACAAAACTTACAGCCCAGTGACCTACTCGTAAGCTTCGATGTCATATCCCTCTTCACCCAAGTGCCAATCAAAGAAGCCTTGACAGCTATCCAAAACAAATATAACCCCCCCAAGCACATCCTAGATCTGACCAACCACTGCCTATCCAACACATACTTCATCTACAACGGACAAAAATACAAACAAATAGAAGGAGCACCCATGGGATCACCCCTCTCACCTGTCATTG